ACTGTATCACCCTTGAAAAATTAAAAACTTAAAAAAAAAATATCAAAACTACTTTTTAGAAAATGTTCAATTTCGAAAAAAATGTAATTTTAACATGAAATGATAAGAAATCAAGGTAGAGAATCTTTTATGAAAAAATTTCCAGTTTAATGTTGAAAAATTGAAACTTCTAAGGAATGTTAAATCTAAAAATAAAAAACAAATACTTTTTAATTTTTTTAATAAGCTTGAGATTAACCTTTTCATTTTATTTTTTCTACTCATTATTTGAGATTAAGTTTTGTTGTGGGTTAAAATGAGTTTTTATTTTTCAATCTGGATTTTGGGTTTGAAATTTTAATTTTAAATTTCTAGTCCGATGTTTGGGATTAATTTTTTTTTTTTCAATCCGCTTTATGGGCTTAGAATTTTACTTTTAAAATCTCAATCTGGTAGTTGGGATTAAAAATTGCAAAATATTGAAAAATAGACAAAAAATGACTTTGAATGCTAATTCAATTATTTTTAGTGCACTTTTTTGGAGCTGTGCTTAGGTCATTGTATTTTCGATAGGTGGCAACTCTGTTGCAAATAATTTCTACCGAATATATCTATATTGATAAGATTTTCGTCTTTTTGACTGCATTGCTGTATGTAATATTTTTCTCAATTGAAATTATTTCAATAGGTGGCAACTCTGCTGCAAAATTTATCTAAAATAATATTAAATTTAGCTGCCTAATGTTTGTATATCCGTTAGGCATACATTAAAAAAATAATAATCACTTTCTTCGTAAGGTGGCAACTCTATTACAAAATTAATGTAATATAATTAAATAAAATAGTATTACTACAATGTTCAAAAGCTGTTTTCTCAATGATTGGCTACCAGCCTTTCTGTCCAGTTAATAAAGTAGTTCGCTTAATAGAGCGTCCATTTAATAGAGCTTTTAGTGTATTTTTTTATTTCTGGTTTTTGCTATCCTATCTTTTAAGTTGGTTCGAACTGCACACAGTGTGCTAAATTTTACTAAACTCGTGACCCGTAATTTTTATATAAAGATATGTATATAACTGTATATCTATATTTTGGTTATTTACTTATCAAAAGGCAATTTAGCAATAACAAGACTTTCTTAATAAAATATGATGCAATTTATTTTATAAAAAGTGGCGTAGTTTTTCTTATTTTATCTCGGCTTTGCAGAGCTCGTGCGCCTAAGCTCTAAAAAATCGGCCGTGCGTCAGACTTGGCAAATCAGATCCGATAAATGGTTTTAGAAAATTCAAGTTTTTCTTTCCATACATTTTTCAAATTTCTCATTTCACTAAATGAAATGACAGAATTTCCAATTTAGAGAACTACTTTCCCACTAAAATCCTGCATTCGCACCGAAATGAACTCATGTTTTCAACAGTCAAGGGCTCTTAAATCGGCAGTATGCCCCAAATTTGTTGGGAACCTTAAAATATGTTGACGATGAATCGAATCCAAGTTCAGTTTCTTCGAAAAATAATCTAACACATATTCGATTTTCTTGGTAAGGGCTCTGAATATGGAACAATCATAAGGATCCACTTTCACTCTCACTTCTACTTACAATAATTTTTTATTTTTATTTTTCGTTTCAAAGTGTTCAACTTAGGTGTCTTGCGAGTATAATAGAATTTCTTGCGAAGTCGTTTAAATGCTTCTGATAAATACCAGAAGAAAAACTATTAGATCTTGGAGATCTCAACTTATGAAGACATAGTATGGTACAAATTGTTAGATATTTGTGTAGGAAGTGTAGGTATACATTTGTAGAACAGAACAGGAATTCAACGCAGAATAAAAAGTTAGTATCGTTTCCATGGGAGAGTGTCACTTTTATAGGTCGAAAAAAGACAGTATCATAAAACCAACTTTTATTAGAACATAGTCTAAATATAATTGTAATAAATACTAGAGGGAAAACATTTGAAAAAGCTTTCGCTATTTATAGCATTAGTCAAGTGTTTTGACAGACTTGTGACTATAATGACTAAGACGTCAAAACCCACTAGCTAAAACCAGTCACTTGTTTGTTAAACTGTATTATATTTCAAAAAAATTAGAAGTATCATCAAGTCATTAGCCAATCGGCAATAAGCTGGTAAGACAAATAATCACAGACAAATAATACACACTAAAATAAATAAACCGACTGCACAAGAAGTGAAATGTAGAACTACGTACTACTTATACCTGCTTATGATGATATTAGACCGATAAGCACATATTAAGTGCCAATCACTAGTTATGCGAAGACGTCATCGCACTCATTAAGACACATTTTTTTTTTTTTAATTTATTTATATATAAACATTATTTAAGGCCTGAAATTGTACACTATCCAATTAAATTTTTCTATATAAAATACTTGATTAATTTGTATTGAATAATAATAATAGCATCCTGTATAAYTCATACTGGCAACTGACTTTTTGCATTGCAGGCAAATCCTCATCTAATAGCAAAGAAGTTATCTGCGGAGATGACAAATACAAAGAAGAGGGTGACCTCTGGAATGTGGAGGCACAAACCGCATTCCTCGGACCGAATTTGTGGGACAAAGCTCTGCCGTATGATGCCGATCTTAAGGTAACACAAGTTAGTATCATTTCTGCTGCGTAGTGAAGCGTGCTTTACATTTACATACACATACGTATTTACATAAATGAATGTCTCATCTCAAATGCTAGTTTTCGTACAACACACATATGCCTACAGACAATTGCAACCACAAAAAGTAATTTTTGTTAATTAAAACAAAAATATTAAAAATTATGAAAAGTATTATTAAAAACAAATTTAGAAAATTATGAAAAAAATTCTTAAAATGTTAAAAAAAAATTTCGAAACGTTTGAAACAATTTTATAAAAAAGTATAAATAATAAACAGAAATTAAAAAAAAAAAATTGTTTGGAGCAATTTTATAAAAAGTAAAATATGAAAAAAAGTTTAAATTTGTAAAACCATTAAAACCAAATTAAAGAAATTATTGAAAATAAAAAAAAAAACATTTTTTCTTAATGTTTGACTAAATTATGACAACCAATGGAAAAAAATGTTGAAAACATTGAAATAAAAATTAAAAGTTGTTTGAAATAATTTTGAAAAAAATCTTTAAAACTATTTTAAAAAATTTCAGGAAATTAAACTTAATTATAAAATAAAAGCTAAAACATATAAAAAAAAACATTGAAAAACTGTTGAAAGGAACTTGGAAAGAAAGTTAGAAAGTCTTCGAAAAATATTTTGTTAAATATTTTGACAAATATTTGATGAAAATTCTTAGAAAATATAAAAACTAATCGAAAAAAATTTTTTTAAATAATCCAAAAAATGATTTTGAAATGATTTTGCAAAACCTTTGAAAACAAATTTAAAAAGTCTGAGAAAAATTTCAGCAAATTATAAAAGAAAAGCGAGAACATATCGAAGAAAATTTAAAAATTGTTGAAACTAACTTGCGAAAAGAGATTAGAAAAAATTCGAAAAATATTGTGAAACATGCAAAAAAAAACTAGAAGAAGAAATAAAAAAATATTTCAAAAATTATGAAAAACATTAGAAAACATAAATTGTGAAAAGAATAATAGGGAACTTTTTTGAAAACATTTCAAAAAAAATTGAAAATAATCAAAAATAAAAAACGAAAAAATATCGAACAAAATTTGAAAAATTGTTAAAAGAATTTTTGAAATCTTTTGAACCACAGTTTTAAAATCTTCGAGAATATTTCGGAAGATTTTTAATTAACATCCAAGAATTTTCAAATTAAATATTTCAAAATTTTTTGCAAATAATTTATAAAAAAATTAAAAAAGGTTTTGAAAAACTTTTGAAAAAATATTTAAAAAAATAAAAAAGCATAAAGTATGTTAAGACGATGTTCGAAAAGTTTTGAAAAGTTTTTAAGAATTTAATGTATCAATAAAAAAATTTTAATATTAAAAGAAATCCAAAATGTTTTGAAATGTTTTCAAAAAACTGTCTTTAAAAATTAAAAAAAATAATATAGAAAAAATACTTTAAATAATAAGAAAACGGTTTGAAAATGTTTTGAAAAATAATTTGAAATAAGTATTTTTGAAAATTAAAAACAATATCCACTTTTTTAAATATTAAACAAAAGTTTGAAAATGTTTCTAAATAATTTCAAAAAAAGTATTTTAAAAACTTTAAAAAATAGCGAAGAATTTCTAAATATTAAAAAAAAGATGAAAATGCTTTGAAAAATATTTAATAACTGCCGAAAGGCGGTAAGTTAGCGATCAACGAAGCCTTTCAGAGAACTCACCAGTCTTACACATACACACAAACAGCGAATACACAGCGTTACTATTTCATAAATCATGAGCTTTCAAGCTTTCGTAGTGCTATTCGCATTGTAAATAAATTGGAATTTATATAAAGTTAATAAAATAATTCACCGATGAATGCAAAATAGTAGAAAAAATACACACATATGCATAACCACTTTCAATACATACATACATACATAAATGCAACGTGAGTGTTCTTTGTGCGTGAAAAGTATCGGTATATACATATATGTATGCACTGTATTTAAAATGTGTTGTATGTATTTCTGCGAATTAATTGCATTAAATTCTTAGCTTKCTTAATGCAGTGCTTGAGATTTAATATTTAATTATTATCTTAGGGATGACTAGATTTTAAAAAGCGAAAACACGTGCAAGTTAAATGTGACACATTACTGATGCTAAGTGGCATTTTTGGTTTTTGTTTTATAATTTGATATTAGTGCTGAAATCTCGCTGATAATAGAACGGATTTACATGTCACTATAAGTGATAAGTGATAAGACTTTGATTCGTATGTAATGGAATATTTGTAACCCAGTCCTTGAATTACATTTACTGCTTTGAATCTCGTAACAACCGAGTTTCAACAAATGGCGACTGTGAAGTAGAGTGATCGTTGAAATCAAACAAAACAACGAATAAAATCAATTTCATTTCTTTAGTGAGAGCAATTGTATTCCTTAAATTGAGCCCTGCTATTATTTGCACTTGCTAAAAAGGCACGCTCCTTAAAAGCTTAGTAATAAGTAATCATATTTTGAGTGAAAGCTCAATGATTTTCTTAAATAAAATAATCTAAAACTTAATAGAGAATTTCTGACTGTGTAACTCTTTTTGTTTCAAGTGAAACTTTTTTAGCTTTGATACTCCGAAAACTAAATTCAAAGTTTTGGGTATTTAGTAGAGTACATAATTATAGGAAATCCCTTTCAAAACACCAAAAGCTTAATGGGTTTTCTCCGCTTCCTCCGCGATTCTAATTAGTAAATTTTATATAAAAGAAATATAATTGAAAGAAATGATCACTTATTGGCATGGATTATGTCTAAAAATTCAGTTTAAAATATATGTTAGCAGAGCTGCCACCTGCTTAAAAATTAAAAAAAAAAATAATAATTATAATAAAAAAAAAAAAATTCAAATATTAGCATGAATCTAAAAAGGTCTGAAATTCAGTTAAAAATATATTTTAGTAGAGTTGCCACCTACTTGAATAGTCTAAGTAAAAGAATTATAAAGGAAAGAAATAGTCAAATATTGCTAATGAGCTGCTGAAAATATAGCTTAGAAGAGTTGCAACATGTATAAATTTGATAAAGAGAAACAATGAAAAAGTTTGATTTATTGACTTATTGAATATTGGTGTTGAGCTAGAGAGTTTCAAAAACACGAATAAAAATATATTTTATGAGTGTTGCCACCTGTTGCAAGTTGTATTTAATTTCAATTGACAAAACTGATGGGTAACAAAGTAAAGCAATCCTAATTAAACTGAGAGAATGAATTCTTTTTAAAAAAGAGTTGCCACCTGTTTCAATTTTTTATTAAATTTAATTGATAAACCCTATGGGTAACATATCTAGAAGGCGTACGTTTTTTTGAAAAAGTTGCCACTTGTTATATTTTTTAATTGAAATAATTTGTCAGTAAAATTAAACGTTACCAAATGAGCATCAAAACTTTTAGCGATGAGTTCTAACGTAGCTATTTTTCACTTCATATCGAAGGTTTTAATTCTAACAAATTAATCAAATGCAGTCAATATAATACAAACAGCTTAAGTATTGCACTTGAGATGATAATATTGATAAGAACGAGAATCGAATAACTACTTCACTCTCTAAAAGTTTTTTACAAAACTCGTTTAATAAGTTTAGAAAATTATAGCCAGAAGCAACACCTTAGCCACATACTTACGTGTTTAATAATATTTTTTTCCCAATTTTTTTTTTTTTGTTTTTTTTGCTTCAATCACTGCTAAAATAAATAGTTGCGCTTACGTTTTTTTAACAAAATTATATGTACGTTTTTTTTGTCCCCTCGGCAAATGTGTGTAATACGAATACCAACTATTTTGAATATTTTCAAAAAGTTGTTTTTTATTTTTTGTTATATTTTATAAAATTTTAAATTAATTTCCAACATCCAGCCAATAATTTGCTTTTGTTTATTTCTTGCTTGCCACAAATATGTATATGTATATATATAAACAACAAACAGTATGCAGATTTGGATGAATTCTTGTCGGAGAACAATATACCTGATGGCTTGCCCGGCTCCCATTTGGGACACTCAAGTGGTTTGGGGCATCGATCAGATTCGCTGGGCCATGCAGCTGGTCTGGGGCTGGGTCTTGGCCATATAACGACGAAGCGTGAACGTTCCCCATCGCCATCGGATTGTATAAGTCCGGAAACATTGAATCCACCATCGCCGGCTGAGTCAAGTGAGTAAAAAAAAATTGCAAAGTATTGTTGAAAAAATTTCTTATTGTTTTTTTATGACTGATTATCCTTTCCCTTTTTATGCTAGCACTAGTGTTTTACTATGAATATAACCTGAAATTTCATTAGTACTTCTACCTTATTATTCTAGAAAGTATACGAATATAAAACTTTAAAGTTCTCAATAATGAACGGAAAAGTGGAGAAATCGTGAGCTTGAAATTTCTTTTAAAAAAATCCACTTTTAAGTTAATTTTATTTTAAATATTCACTATTATTTAATTCCGTATATTTCTATATTTTTATGTACACCATAGAGCCATTAAAGCTTCCCATCTTGAAGTGAAAGCTCTGTGTAGAAATTGAGCAATTAAAGCTTAACGTCATTGAGTGAAAGCTCGGTATGGGAATTGTCTTTAAAGCAACTATTAAAATAATAAATGCGAATCTTAATAAGAATAATTTAATTTTCAAAATGAAAATTCTTTTTATTAAATGGGGTTACGTACAGCAAAATATCGATATAGGAAATTTTTCGTTCAAAAACTGTTTTTTCATTAATTTTTGTTTGCCTGAAAACTATTTCTGCGATCTGCAGAATATGTATCGTTTCAATAACTAAAAAGACCTTTGGCAAAATAGCGTAACTTCAACCGAATTTCTTTAGTTCTAGACAAGATTAAGGATTTAATTAGACAGTGCCCAATATAATTTGAATATTTGAAAGAGATAAGTAGCTGGTAAAACATCTTTCTTAAGATCTTGAAGTTTAGCTTTTGGTATTCGACTAATCGACTAACCGTATAGGGCATTATTCTAACAATAATATTCGGTTTGCAGTATTCGGATAGTCGTAAGTCGTCCACTATTCGGTTAACCGCTCACTTTCGACTATCCAATTAAGATAAGATTGATAAACGAGATTGCACCGCGACCTCTGTTTTATTGTGCCCCTATAAATATTAAGTTATAGAATTTCGAGAATTTGTATATCAAATTCAAGGTACCTGTCATTTTTGTATATCACATCGTTGTATATCACGTTTTGTTTTTAGTGTTGTAAAACTTTTCCAAACAAAATTGTAACTGGCGCATGCATAAATCCAGCTCTAAGCACAATTTATTGTCTACCTCCCGCCTAATTCCTGCTTGCTTTGAATTTCGTTTTGTCATTTCTCTTAATTTAGTTTGCCACGAACAGTTTCTGAAGCATTGTTAATGTTTAAGTATTTGACATTTCAGCTTTCTCCTTTGCATCGTCGGGGCGGGATTTCGATCCGCGCACCAGAGCATTCTCCGATGAAGAGCTCAAACCGCAACCGATGATCAAGAAATCACGCAAACAGTTTGTGCCCGACGAACTGAAGGACGATAAATATTGGGCACGTCGCCGGAAGAACAACATTGCCGCCAAGCGATCACGTGACGCACGCCGCCAAAAGGAAAACCAAATAGCGATGCGTGCCAGATATCTGGAAAAAGAAGTGTGTACCAAACAAATATTTGTTATTGTATGCTTTATTAATTTTTTGTTGTTATTTCTTGTTTTTATTGAAGAATTCGACATTACATCAAGAAGTGGAACAGTTGAAACAGGAAAATATGGACTTGCGTGCGCGTCTCTCAAAATTCCAAGATGTGTAATGTTAAGAAGTACCACCCTCCTTCCCCTGAAAAAAAAAAGAAAATTATTAAATATATATATATATATACATAAATGTAAATGTATATATAGATGTGTATATCACCTCCAAAAATCACAACCACCAATCTAAAATGCAACCAAGCAGGCAACAACTTATGTATAATATAAGTAACCCAAAACAACCGTTAACCGTAAGGGCGGAAAAGGAACTGGAAATGGTTAGAAAATGAACCGTTATGCAGCTCACCGCAAACAGCCGTTAGAAAACTCATGCCACACACATACTTTCACATACAAACATATACACACACATATATGCAATTGCCTACCTGTACCAGCGGTACAGTTATATGGACATAAATATATATAACTTAATATATATATTTATATATTAGTATACAGCTTATAATTGAGAAAGATGAATTGATAACGGTACACAGAAATTATTTGAAGCAGTTTTTAATTAGCCTTGCAAAAAAGTACAGACAAAGTATGAGAAAACAACAACAACTAATTCCCACAAGCTGCGGMAGAAGATGAGTGCAAAGAATATATAGTATAAAAGAGAAGCAAAAGAAGCATAAAACCAAACATATTTATAAAATTGAATATACATATACAAATACAAATATACTAACAAAATTCAGCGCTTAACACAATATTGAAAGAGAAAGAAATCAGAAAAAATAACAACAACAACAAAGCGTCTAAGTCTGGCTAAAACATAACTAACTAATTCATGAAACAACGAGACGGGAAGAAAAGAGCAAATGTGAAGATCCGAGTGAGCGGTATTTGGGCGTGGAGGTCGCGCGAGCCTTTCTTGCAGAGTGTGGGATGTTTGTATAATAACTATAACAATAACAGCAGTAAATAGTAACGGGGCAACTGAAAATCGGCAAGAAAGCCAATGGAATATTAAATTTGTTAAACAAATATGTAAATGAAAGAACAACAAAAAACACAACAACTATTACAACAAACACAAAGAAAATAAACATATGTATGTATGTATACTAGATAAGTACATAATTTATATACAAAAGCAGACATGTACGTGCTGCAAATTAAGGACAACAACAACAAAACATTATTTTAAAATTATTGTTAAAATGAAAGCAAAAGAAAATCAAGAAAGTCAGACAAAAAACAAACTGCTTACAAATATTTAGACTAAATTAATATAAATAATTATAAAATAGTTGCATAAAGTTATACATAAATTAAATAAAAGTTTATARATAAATAAAACAACAACAAAACAATAAGAAGCACTATGTGAAATTTAGAAATAATTGAAAAAACAATGGTAAAATTAAAAAAAAGCATTGCTTATATACAAAAATACACATACACATATATACACACACCCACACACAATACATAGGCACGTAAAGCCAGCTGAGCAGCTAATTTAGATACGTTTCTCACGCAAAAGGCTGCAAATGTACAGGCAGCTGCAAAAAGTTGCCAGCAATGTGATGCAGAGATATGAGCAACATGTTGCAGCAATATTTGTTGCACGTAATTAAAAGACATTTTCCAATATTGCCGAAGAAATAAGAATTAGACAAATTCTTGGCAACATAGATTGCAATCAGGTATGTTTCAGCAACATCAGTTACTCGTAAATGTTGCAACAAAAAATATTGCTTGAAATAAAATTAAATTTTCTGACTAAAACGTATTGAAACATGCTTAGCAACAAATATTGCTATTGCTAATGTTGCAGGATGTCTAAAAATATTGCTGCAACATATGTCGTAAACACCAAAACTGAGCGTAAATATCGTGCATGACTTTCCTTTTTATTTCCGTAGCAGCAAACTTTTTATTGTGAAAAAGAAAAGCGATCATCGAAACTCAACAATTGGTAATATTAGACTGAGAAAACCAATTTTCTAATGTTATTATTGCCAAATTTATGTAACATGCTTCAGCAACATAAGTTGCGATTATAAATATTGTAGCAACATATGCAATTTTTCATACAAGTTTCAGATAATTTTTCTGATGTTACTCACTGCTATGTTTACTTAACATGTTTCAGCAACATATGTTGCCATTAAGAATGTTGCAACAATAAATGCAATTTTTCTTAGTTCATTATCAGTTATCTTCAGTTCAGTTTTTTAGTTTTGTTCATTACTAAGTTTCCTTAACATGTTTCAGCAACATATGTTGCGATTCAGTATGTTTGCAGCAACATATGCAACTTTTATCAATATTAGCTTCAGTTATTTCTTTTTAGATTTTTTCATTACTAATTACTGTTAACATGTCTCAGCAGTATATGTTGCGATTGAAAATGCTGCAGCAACATTTTCAACTTTTCGTCAAAATTAGCTTCAGTTAGTTTTTTTTAGTTTTGTTCATTACTAAGTTTCCTTAACATATTTCAGCAACATATGTTGCAATTCAAAATGTTGCATCAGCAAATTTAATTTGTTCGAAATCATGCTTAATTTGTAACTGTGCGCATAAATTAGCTTCAAAGATCTCTATATATAACAAATCTGTAAAAAAGCACTTTCCTCAAAAACTAGAACAAAAGGAAAAGCAAAAGAAGCCTAAGCAAAAGCTAAAACATCTATTTTTTCTTCTTCTAATTCAAAATTAATTCGTGATTTAAATCATTCAAAGTCCACATGTTACGCGAGCCATCATGTTAATATATTGTTGCTCACGAACTCATTGTTGCTGGCAACATTTCTGCAAACTGCAATCCCAACTGGAAACAGACATACATATGTATGTAGATGACTCAATATAATTACCACTGCGAGGCAAGAAAATTAAAATGCGCAATAATACTGACTCAAAAGGCTTCAACAAAACATAAAATATGAAAATCAATTTAAAAGTAAAATTAAGTAAAACGTTAAATATTAATATTAGTGACTTGAAAGTTAGAAAATAAAAAGGAAAAACTGATTGACATAAAGCAACCTAAAACAATACGGAAATTGTGTACCTAAGTTTATTATTAAAAGTACACACATAAGAGAATAATTAGAAATTACATGGCTTACATTAAAATAGCAAGACATTTCTTTTTTAATATATTGCCCAAACGCTAAGACATGAGTTGACTCAAACAATTTTGTTCATAAAATTTATAAACATACAAACACACTTGTTTCCTAGACTGAGTTGTGCTAGATTTCAAAAATTTGTTAGGGTTGTGCTAACGGATATAGCGGAATGCAGTGGCAATAGTTAAAACATTATTCCGATTTTTGAAAATTCAAAATATGGCCAGAAATTCTGTGTGGTATTTGCAAATAAAGCTTTGTGGCAATGGTTCAAAATCGTTGACAAACGATCTTAATATGAATAATCATTATGATAAACCAGACTTTTTGAATTTRAAAAAAAAAAAAATATTATCAATAAAATATAATAGATTTTATAATTCTCTGGCGAAATTTATAAACTTTTGAAAAATATGAACATGTGAAACAGTGAACTGTAAACAAGAAAGCTATTCAAAATTATGAACATGTGGAACAGTAAACTGAAAGTTCGAAAACGAAAGGTAAAAATTTTTGAAAATATGAAAAAATTTATTAGAAAATCGAAAATCATGAATTTTGCTTCTAAATAGGTACATAAAACTGGGAAAAAACACTTTTGCCGTTCGTTAACAAAAAATAAACACTTGTTCTAATTCCGTTGCATCTTTAACAGACTGACTCTCCGCAGCAGTGAGTTGTATTAAGCTGATACATGAAATTTTAGCGACTAATGAGAGTTCTACCAAAATTTTGCTGCAGTGTTCATTAGTACCGCGTCCAGTTTCAGAATTTGTTGCCACGAAAGTTGCTTGCGTGCATTATTCACTTCCAGTTATAACGAATTAGACACTCAAAAAATGAGAAAAAATAGTTCCATCGTGAAACGCTGAAAACTGGCGTTCCTTTCAAGAAAAAATTCAAGCTTATGTTTGAAATATTTTTTGTCGAGCAAATATTTTTTTTAAAGAAATATTTTATTTTTTTCGAAAATCGCTTTTCCTCCCTCCACCTTATCAATTTGCGCTTCCGTTAAATGTTTTATTGCCAATTATCCCTTAATCATTATCGTAGAGTTAAAGTTGACTTATAGTGTGTAGAAACCGTTATGTTAAAATATTACATCTGAAATGTGTGTAATATGTTGCAAATTAGTTTGAAATGTAGTTTTTGTGAGTGTATGAACATAAGAGCATATAAATAAATTATAATTGTTTTTTATAAAATTATACACATATATTTATATGCGGTAGTAAAACTCTTCTTTAGTAAAAACTTTTTCTTCTGTTTGTTATAACTGGTTAACAATTGTTTATAATAAATAGTTTATTTAGATGACTTGTTAATACTAAACTCAATAATAGTTTATAATTATACTGAGTTGATTGCAGACGCTGTAAAATATAATAAATGAAAATACTGGGTGTGTAGTGCTACACCTTTCCTTAAGGCAACAATAAATCATTAAATAAAGCATAATTCACAGTTTGTACCTAAGCCGCGCCTTTATTTAATGATTATGCAAAATGCAGTTAATTATTGTATGTTTTTTTTTGCTAAAATCAGTGCCGATATATTTTAAAATTGAAACAAGTTGAAGTGTGTTTTGATATTCGTTACAAAAAAATAAAAACTGTTAATAAAAAATTTTATTTGAAATGATTTGTGTATCAAAAATTTTACATAACTTTGTTTTTTTTAATAAAAATGAGAACTTTGTAAATTTAGAAAACAATCCGAGACTAAAATAACCTTTTAACAAAACGAGATATTATAATTTTTTTGTCTTCAATATTGTTATAGTATACTTTTAAATTACTACAGGGTGTGCTTTTTTTAACTTTATTTTAGCATAAAAATAAACTCAACATAATTACTTTTGATGGTGCAAAGTACTACTTGTTTGTAGAAATTTTTAAAATTTCCTCTCTTTTCTAATCTTTGTTTTTAACTTGAAAAAGTCTCCAAATTGTTCTTAAAGACTTTTAGTAAATTTCTCAGACATTTTTAAACTTATTTAATTTAAATCAAAACAGTGCTTAAATAATATCAATTAAAAATATAATGCAACCCCTGTATACACACAATACGTAAAATGGCTTTAGCCGACAGTTTCATTTTAAAAATTTTAATTCAAAATTTTACGAGCTGAAACATGGTAACAGATATGTTTTTTTTTGACAAATTACATCTTTTAAAAATTAAATTCAATAAAAAAAAATTTAA